CCTTGACGTGCTTGTTTTTTTCACTTTTATTCCTCAGCTAAAAACAATGAATATGCGTGTATATATATATTTTTAAAGTCACGTAGAAGGGAAATAATAAAATAAAATAAAAATTCCCTTCTACGTGACTTTACCGAAAGAACCAAGAATATTAATCCCTGCAGTCACGAAAGCTTTAAATCTAAATTTAACAAAAATGTTTTTTTTTATTTTATTTGGTTCTTAAATGCAACTGCATCTATAAAGCGGTTTACAAAACACACGGAAATAACAAGAACAGTATTAACACGACAGCAATCGTATTACAAAATAAATCAAAACGTGTCTTTGGTAACACGAAGAACCCAGTGTAAACACGCAACGTTGGGCCCACCACCACTTTTCCCGGTGATTGGAACCCTTGGCCCAACGTTCCACATTTTCCGGGAACGCACGTGCACAGTTGATGTAGCATTACTTTGTGTGTGTGACAATCTATTGCAGTGCTGAGTTATGATCGTGAAATGCATAATGGATGGCTACAGTAATGGAGGAGATCAATAAACATGCTTTCAAAAATATGATACTGTACTCGCAGAAAGATTGGCTGCGACATTTATGGGAGACTGGTCAATGGACATAAATGGATTCATGAGATCCATTAGCTTTTAAGGTAATGTGTCCTGCCGTATTGCCTTAACATCGAGTAAGGTACACCCAGATCCTGGCTGTCTGTGACAAAATCACCCGAAGTGCACCCAACCTCGTCAGAACTCGGACGCTGAAGCCTGGTTGAGCAATGGAGAATGCTTGGATGCGTGGCCACCGTGTGTAACAGGTGCCATAGGATGCTATGGGACTATGCGTTAGGCAGCAGGGTGCAGTGCAGCAACAATGGATTGTTCCTCCGTGCGTAGGAACGTCCGCGTCTATGCGGTCCACCCCGTCACCAGCTCGCACCGACCGGCGTGGTGAAGTAAGGTCAACAACCCTCCACGACCCCATGCCGCGTGGGGAGGGCCTCACATAGCAGTGGATTGACAGAAATGGCTGTAGGTGTACAACATTTCCCATCACTAAAACCACGTCTTGTCCACGTTCACGATTGCGTCCACCTCGCCGGCACTTTGTATTCACAGTGTTCAGCCTTGTGTACAGTGGCCTTGTCTGTTTAAGAATTGTTTGGGACCTGCGGTAATTGTGAGGTGGTTATTTGCGATATCGTGCGCTTCATTTTCTTGCAGGGTTTTTGCTCTTGTGTGACCTTTGTCACCCAGATCTCCCTTGAAAAGGAGAACACACACACGAGACCGCCTCCTTTCCACGGTCCCATTTCTACCGATCATCCGCGGGTTATCCGTAAAACGGTCAAGTGCCGCGTTTTTTTGTCCAACCTCTTTTTGAGTTAAGCCAGCTGTGATTTGTAAGGAAAATAAATTCAACCGAACGAATACCGTTTGCGCGTTCATCGTGGTACGGCCAGTGGATGAGCTGCCGGGTCTGAAATTCTAAACCGTTTTGAATAAATCGTAGAAAAAAAATATATAATGACAATAAATAACAGATTTTCCGCGCCAGCGATTCAATTCCCTGCCCCTTTATCCATCCACCGAACCACCCAGAAAGGTCGTTTCCAAGCAATTAGCGCGTCTGAGCAGACCGGCGTGAACTACGTGTGTGGTACACAAACCCGCAGCGTGCGTATCTAAGCCAGGGAGCTGGTGGCACAAGCGGAGAGGGGGCATGGGGAAGGTCGTCTCGGGGGTTGGGGTATCGCCCCAAAGCGACAGTGCAGTCGCAAGGTTACATCTTTGCTCTGTAAATTTTTTATTTTTACTGAACAGTATGATGCGTGAACGATTGTGACGATGACTGGTGACTCACTTGCAATCTCGCCGCAATGAACATTACCTCAGGCAGCCGACCACTCACCCCCTCCTCCTGCCTTCATCCTTCCCACACACCCTTCACAGTGGGGAGTGGAAAACCGAACTGAAACTGGCAGTATTCCCATAAGAGCTGAGTGAGTCACGTCGGCGCCATGGTGATTTCGCCCACAGACAAATTCGTATGCAAGCATACAAATGAGTGCCAAACAGTCAACGGTGTGTGTGTTCGTGGGGCACTTCCGATCTCGTTAGCATTCAATCGTCGTGCCGGTCAACCACCTTGGTTAAGTTAATTCGTTGTTGCCGAACGGAAGCAAAAAGCACTTGCGTGCCCGTTCATTGGAATATAATAATCTGATTTTCATCGTCACCATCTCTGCATTTCCCCTGTGGACATATCAACCAAAGACCGCCCGATCTTGTCAGATGTCGGAAGCTAAGCATAGCGCCGTGACTGGACAGTGCTCAGATGGGTGACCTCCATGAACAAACAGGTTGTCATGGGGTGGTGGAGACAAGTGGTGGGTAACAGACGGCAGTCTGGTTAAATCCGTTGCCGTTCTGTATTTCTATGCTCCCTGCCATCAAAATCACATGGACCAGCATGGTAAAGCATGGACAGACAATCTCCATGGCCCACAGAGTTTTGAGAGGCCCTCATCCAGCAGTGAATTGAATAAAGGATGGTACGTGTTCCTGCCTATATTTCATTCACGTGTAAAAGTATATCGGTGCTCTTTCAATCCTCTAGTGGAGCTCTTTATAGGAAAGCCTGAACCAGCGGTGGACACTCCATGTTCTAAGGTTGGGGGCAAGGCTCTATCTGCGATAACCGCTGTTGACTTACCAGCAAGAAGTACTGTTACTCGTTCAACCAATGCCAGAGAACTGATGATCTAGGTCAACTCATGACCTAAGAATAATAAACCTAATATTCTCATCATGGGACCTCCTTTGCTAGTACCAAAATATGATAATAGGGTTTTCCCCTCTTTTCTGGCAACAAAACAGGTGCTAAGATGTTAATACTCCAACACAAATGCACATGTCTACATTATATATGTAAAGGAAAAATAATGACTGATTTGGAAGTGGTGTACAAGCACAAACCAAAATGCAATGAACTCCGAGTTTGACTCTTCGCCACGGCTAACTTCAATTGCAAGTGACATATGAACTGGTTCAAAGCGGCCGCCCTTCACCGTCCCACACTGACCAGGTGGTGAAGTGATGGCCAAACATCTCCCATGACAGACACAGTGTGGAGAGGCCTTCATCCAGCAGTCGCTGGACAAAGGATTGTAATTTACCATCATTATTATTACTACCACGACGACATATTAATATTATATACGAGGCTAACGTTTCGGGCATATACCCTTCCGCAGAGTAGGCAGACTGAGCAGAAAGTCACTGTAGACACATCATCTAATTTCACCAAAGCGGGGGAGGGGGGGGGGGAGAAAAAAAAGTGGAACGTACCTGTCGACCGTTGCACGACGCCACCTTTCAGCCGCGCTGCGTCAGCCGCGGAGCACCGAGCGCTCTTAGCGAGAGCGCCGAGTCAAGTGACGGCAAAAAAACCAGGCCACTCCTTCCACTCGGCCACACTCACCACGGCAACCACCGCGGTTGGAGAGGATGGCGATCGAAGGGAGGGGGGGCGCGAGCGAGGAAGGGGGAGGGGGGCAAGGGGAGGCTGGGGTACCGGAACCCTCCGAGGATCGTACCTAACTGTGCGTACGTGCGTACGTGGGTACGTGCGTACGTCGCAGACCCGTGGCCAAACAAAAGGCTGTTTCATGGGTTTTAAAAAAAATTCTGTCCAGCGGAACAACGATCACCTTGCCCTGCACCAGGACACACCCTGGATGAAAGGCACGGGTGGGAGGGAGGCGGGAGGACTGAAGGTGTGGGCTATGGGGGGAGGGGTGGATGTTATAGCCGGGTCAATCTCGGCGTCGTGACGACACAACAATCAGTGCATCGCGCAGCCGGGCAATACCAATTGAACCCAAAAAGGGGATTCTAGAATTTTCCCCCCATCGCCGTCACCGCCGTCAATTATTGCGCATTTTGCGGTGCGATCAATTTCGTCGGCACAGGGGCGGTTATTTTTATTTGCAATGTTATTGTAACGTAATTAATTGTCAAGCTATGCTGCATAGAATAACGCAGCCGTTAGGCCAGTCCCGTAAAATGTCGACGTGGTGGTAAGCGGTTAAGGACACGTATGCAATGTGCACATCACAGGCTCCCTACAGGAGCTATCCCTGGTCCTGAAGGCTCTTTCCATTTGACGCCTGCAATCATTGACCTTCAGGAAGAGAATGCGATTCTAGAGGTTACCCACATTTTAGCAATGACGTTTCAACGTTCCAAATGAGCCCATAGTCCCGATCAATTTAATTTTACGTCACTCAATTTCAGACATAATAGTGATTGCGGTGTGGTAATTGTAACTAATAACTGTACCCTATTACATTAACAAATGGCATTTGTAATGACGATCAGTTCAATGATATCACATGGCGCACCGATAACGCCAGATCTGAGTTTCAATTAAAACAGTGAATATAATACGTATGGCCTCAACAATAAATCCCCATCGCAACAGTCTCACGCTGGCGAGCACGTCGGCAATTAGCAGTGGACTGTGCAACGGCGGCCTCGCCCTTGATTAAATGCGCGAGCATGGGAGAGGCGCTCCCTTGTGTACGCGTACATCTGCGCCACATGCATCCCGGCGGACCCTGTGAACCAGAATAGCCCTTCATAAAGCGCCCCCCCCCAATAAAACCCAGCCGAGGACGCGAAATAAGCAGGCGATTCTAGGCAACCGCCAACGCGTATCGCGCGGCGTTTCTTTTTCAGACGGCTCTATGTGGGCAGCCGAGACGAGCTGCGCACATTGCTCCAGGGTAGGCCTGTACCACATGACGATGTGCCACCCCCAATTGACCGTCGGAGCGTCGTTTGCCGTTTTTCTTTTTCTACACACGGGTCATCGTTTGTTTGTCCGCAAGCAGCACAGCCGGAGGAATGGGGACCCGTCACAGCCCCCCCGGATCCCTCGCCGCGTTTTGTTTTGCAGCTCTGCCGTCGCCACGACGGACGCGATGCGCAACTTGCCTCCAAGACTCTGCCGGTGATGTACTTCTCACAGCCGTCGCACAGAACGCCAAACTGGGAGTGGTAGTCCCGCTCGCAATAGGGCATCCCGTCCCTGCAAGAGAGACGGCCCCTGAGCTCTCCGAGATCAACGGGTACATGAAATGCCATCGGGCAACGTATGAATGCACCGGTTCGTCGGTTGAAGTCAATTCTGATGCTCACAATGCACGCGTAGTGCTGTGCGCATATGGATTGATATAATTTGTCATGAATGCAAGCGACTGAGACGTGGATTAGAGGACATGCGCTGGTTAAATATATCATTTTAACTGTCAATAAAAGTAAGTCGGCTTGCACAAGACACACCGCTGAACGGGATGACGGTCGAAAATAGATGCGGATTGGCAGCCCAAAAGATACAAAGGGCAGAAGCGAACGTCCACTGCGGAGATGGAGCAATGAGATCATCGCAGCGCATGTGCTGGGTGGATTGCAGCATCATGAGACTATGAAGGATGGCGGGGAGCCTTGGGGAGGCCTTCATACAACTGTGGCTTGACCATGGCTTATGGTGATGATCTTCGGCCACGAGACGCAGTACATGACAAACAATACAAACGAGGTGATGAACATGAGCTAGAAAATGAAAAAACAACACATTTCATTTGATCATCATCCGTATCGTGACTACTCAATAAATCGCTGCGGAAGACGGATCGTCGAATGCTCATTTATAGTCGTTACAATGGCCCCAATATCTCTTCCACGCTCGAGATCCTCGTCTTACAAGCACACGGTGCAGGTGTCCCATATAAAATAGGTACACGACCAAAAGGTTGAGTACAAATTCTAAATGGTATATTTTTTTAATCTGTCACTGAAAGGGAAAAAATGTCAAGAGATCACCCAAATGGCAATCCTTTAGAGGGAGTGTCACACTTTTACTGGAGGAAATGCATAGGCTTTGAGTTAATATAATACTAATTATGTTAATGGAAGAGAAAGTCGTGGCGATATTGATGGGGGACGGTCAAGTGTGCTCAGAGTGGGAGGCGATGTCATAAATACCTTTCAACTTTTCATTTATTATGAATCTATTTATTTAAAATAAAGAGATCATACATATTTATAGATTCCCCTTTCTCCTGTTTAACTAAAGGATACGGAATTATCCTGATGCCAGCAGTATTACAATGAATGTGAAAATGCAATGGGCACTGAATATGAAATGCGGTCATAGTATGGGGTATAGGGAGCCGTATGGACTTTCACAATGTATATTAAATGAGGCATAGTGCGTTTCGTCTGTCGGTGCCAAGGCTTGGATCCGCTCAAGGTGGCTGGGTGGCTGTGGAGCTGGCATGGTGGATATCGTTGGTCTGAATCTGAGTAGCCAGCCACCCGCGATTAAACTTTGTCATCAAATGTAGCGAGTTGATGGCGCTATCCAAGTCACTATGCAAACAACCATCACGTTACAAATGTGCGTGGGATTTAAACCTCATTCAGCTTATTTGAGCTCGTAGAAAAATAAAAAAAATGCCATCTCGAATCCGCTACATTTTTTGGGCGGTGTCTATTACCTCTTCCCATTCCTCGTGTCGTCCAACGCTCGATTCACCTCGGTCGACCCTGCACTGCGCTAGAGACCTGAGCGCCTCGTGGGCGGAGGAAGAGGCCGAGAGGTCGGACACCACTGGGCGTTGTGGTTGCGTCAGATCGACCGTTACCGGCGAGGCTCGGGGAGGGGAGAAAGGGGTCCCTCGCTTGAGGGCCTTGCCAGGAGGGAACTCGAGGGGTTGTGTCCTAAGGGTGGATGCTGCTACGCCTTTGTCTGGGTGTGCGCCACCCGTATTTGACGTGGGTTTTAGGCGCTTTCGGATGCCGTACACACAGTCAACTCTCAATTGTCTGGGGTAATGGGGCAGTGGAGTAGCCTGGATTGAACAATAACCCAGTTCGTCTTCTTGGTTCTTTCGGTAAAGTCACGTAGAAGGGAAATAATAAAATAAAAATAAAACATAATAAAATAATTCTCACGACGTTTCGGCCACACCGCAAGCAGCCGTCCTCACAGGACTCACAGGACGGTTGCTTGCGTTGTGGCCGAAACGTCGTGAGAATTATTTAATTATGTTTCTTAATTATTATTTTATTATTTCCCTTCTACGTGACTTTACCGAAATAACCAAGAAGATGAATCCCTGCAGTCACGAAAGCTTTAAATCGAAAAATAACCCAGTTCTTGCAAAACACAGGTAAATTAGGCTGCAAAAAGCTATTGTTCCCTTTTCCTTTTCATAAAATGTGGGTGAAGGCGTAGGATGTGTCATCCGCCTTTCATTGGTTCTCAGAGCAATCAACAGGTTTACCTGCCCACGTGTTTAACGTCACCCGGCCGCCTCGACGGGCGAGGGGAACAGCTCACAAACGAGCACGTGGAGAGATGAGCGCGGTTAATCCGCAAACCCGGGTAATCTACCGTCGAGAGTTGCCTGTGAATCCTCACTCCCGCCCACTCACTTGCTGATGTATTCTCCGGTGAGAACCTTGCCGCACGCTCGGCACTTGAAGCAGCCCAGGTGCCAGTGCCGCTCCAGGGCAAGCAGCGCCTGCCCGTTTTTGATGTCTCGTCCACACCCAGCGCAGTCTAAAGCCACACAGTGCAGTGCGACACAAAAGAGGTGGGGTAAATTCGCCCGCATATCTCGGCTCCGTGTGTGTACTGTGTGTACATATATTTAACACCGAGACGTGGAGAGCTGCCACGCATTGGTTAGCACCCAGCGCGATGAGCCCGGTAGCCCGAGTGTTGATTCCTGGACGCTTGCTATCATCAGTGGCGAGCGAAGTCGGAATCGATCCTGGGCCTTCAGTTCAACGTCCCGCACTGACCATCGTGGCGAGGGTCAGAGAAGCCCCGTGGCCTATGCAGCTTTGGAATACATTTATCCAGCGGTAGACCGCCAAAGAGCTGTAAATTAATTTATTATATTTATTTTTATTTGGGACACTTCACCGGGTCTTGAGCCGCTACTTAAACAAGGGAGTCATCAGCACTGATGGCTTGGGAAAAGGAGCTCCTAGCACCAGGGAGAGCAGCAGAGGGGTGACCTCCCCATGCAATAATCATGAATTGAAAAAGTAGATTTATTGAAGGTGATTGGCATTCAGAAACCTATCGAGTGAGTGCAGAGCTCAGTGTCTCTTGAAATGCTTGGTTGCATTATTTGTTTGCACGTTTTATGGTTTGTTGAGCTTAACATTTATGATGTGAAAATTCATTCATCACAAAACAGCAGCACTTGGGCTGGTATCATCAGCAGCAGGTCAACGGGCCACCCTTTTCAACACCAACAGATGCCGAACGCATTATTGCTCAACAATAACGCAGCAATTAATGTTTATATATTTATATTAGTGCACGCAAACCACATGCCACCAAAACAACGTAACATCCATCCACGGGCCATTACGGAACGGACGAAAGTTGGCGGTAGAGGCAAACGCTCAACGAGGATAATGCCCATCGTTGTAGACAATTACCGAGCAAGGCAAATTCGCGTTTGGACTTCACCGTCCGTGATGGTGCGCTGCTACGTGAACAGCCAGCGAAGCAGAGCGAGGGGTGGGTGGTGGCGAAGGGGGAGAGGGAGCTGGGGGGGGTACGCGTGTGGGCACTGCGGATGAGGTCTTTGCGGGGGGGGGGGGAGGTGTGTGTGGGGAGTGCGAGCTGGTTTTGTATGCAGCCAGGACAACCCCACCAATGGGTTTCCTTTCTTACGTGCGCCTCCCTTCGCGACGCTCAAAACAAAAACAACAACACCAACCACCCAGCGCAGTCACAATGCACGCGATGAATGAGAACGGAGTGTACTTGGCCATAGCTGGGATGGACGACCCAGACCGTTGGGGACATCGCAAAGGGCACAAGTATAACCACCACCACCTCCCCCCCCCCCCTAATTCCTTCACCGCAGGTTACACGCCGTGTCGGTGGCGCTCGTGGGAGGCGCGTAACGACGCATCGATTCGTTCGCCGATCGAAATCGGTTTCTCCCGCGTTGAATCGCGCGAGTAGCAATCGGTTTCCGAAATTTGTGATGTGTGCACATTTAATGAAATGCTCGGATATTAATGCATGCAAACTAAACAATTGTGAAGGAGACAAAGAAACGACCAAGGGTCAATGCAAACAAGGCGGTAAAGACGAGATGAAAAGAATTGAGCGTTGAACCATGACATTGCAGGCTTGGTTAACATGAACGTGTTGCGTTTTAAATCACTGAGAGGTTTTTGCGAGCCCCAACAGCAAGCAAGGGCTTTGTGTTAATTTCTGGAACCCGAAAACAAATAAAATAAAATCAAACTTTACTCACGTAGCACAATTCGCGCATAAAATGCAATGCTACACAAAGTGCTTGACAAGACAATTGAATAGCGACCGACACAATTTTAACAACAATAAGATTGATACGTTAAAGACATAACATTATAATGAACTAAAATTAGGAAGAAAAACGCATAACAAGCACAAAAATCAGGGCACCCTAATTAAAAGACAATCAAAAAGGTTACGTTTTAAGATGTCGTTTAAAAACATTCACTGATCCTAATGCCCTCGGATTCTGCGGCAGGCCATTCCAAAAGCGACGGCCGTGGAAGCTAAAGGCTGTCTCCTCACAAGTTTTAGTCCTGGCCTTTGGCACAACCTCTCCAAATGTATTCTGCTACCGCAGTGACTGCACATACATTCTGAAACTTATAAAACAGGATATAGGCCAAAATGAATTTGAGCCTTCTTGAAGTCCAACTTTCATTGTGTGGCATATTTGCAATTCTGTGCCGTAAAATGAAATTGGTATGTATGCGTGTATGTTGAACATCCACACCGTGCATAGCCAACACGTGCCCATACGACATGGGCACGTGTCATACTGATAGAATCGTGATTTTTTTAAAAATTGCCCATTCTAAACCCACTGCTGCTTGTTTGACTACACGTTCATGAAAACAGGTCATTTACCCTTTGATTCACTGCGGTGCACCAACTGCTGGACGAACAGAGACGAGCGGATTTGGCCAATTTTTTCGACTGACTGCGATCGAAGGGGTGACCTCTAGATTGTAATTCCAGTGTAACAACCATTACAGCGCGGAAGTACAGAGGACTGCGCGTGTGTGTGCCTTTTTTTTGTTTGTTCACGGTCTCCTAGACTCCACGATGATTGTTGGCATTTGGCTTCTAAAAAGAGTTGCCTCCTTTAGAGGCCATGCGCCAGCCCTGGTGCGGTGTGACCAGCATGGCATGGAAATCACCAGCACTGCGTTGTTGTTGTTGTCGTCGTTGTCGTCAACGTACTCACCACTAATGTTAACCATGGCTGGGAACCAAACACAGTGACCCCCCCACCCGCCCCACCACTCATAGCCATGGTGCATGAACCAGTGCGCTGCCGTTGCCCTATCACACACAACAACAACAACCGCCATTCGCCACTAAGTGGCGGTGACGTCACCACGACGCTTGTGCCAGGCTATGTGCACCTTGAGGCCGCGTGAAGTGTCGAACGCCCGCTGGCAAGAGGTCACGGGGCAGACCCAGGTGCCACGGGTTGACTGGCTGAGACGACTGGTTGATGCACCACCTGTGCCCTCTACTGTGCCAACTTGCTGTGTTTTAGCCATCCGGCGCTCCGCTCGTTGTTGTGAGCGTCGCTCCTCCGCCCTCCGTTGTTGTTGGGGGGCGACTGCCTCCAACTGCCCAGTAGCGTCCTTCACGAGCCTCCTCCACAGAGGCCGATCTTGACACCGCTAGTACCAGTCATCGACAAGTCCGCTCAGCTCCACGTAGTCCTGTACCACATCACTCCATCTCTTTCTAGCCCGTGCCACGCCCGTTTAGCCCCCTCGATCCGGCCGAACAAAAGCTGTTTAGGCATGCGGTGGCTGGGCATGCGGGCTACATGACCCAGCCAACGCAGCCTTGCCTGCTGGAGGAGCTCACCGATGGGAATTTGTCCACATCTTTCAAGGATTTGTGAGCTCCTCACACAATCCAGCCTGGTTAAACCCAGGATGGATCGTAGGCAGGCCAGCCTAAATGTTTCTAACCGGCGAAGATGTTCCATTAGGGGGGTCCACGATTCGCAAGTGTAGAGAAGGAAGGGAATGACCGTGGCTGAGAAGACCTGAAGATTCGTGCAGAGTGATAAACCAGGTAGCTTCCACCACACAGCGTTACGCAACCAATGAAAAGATAATGCCGCTTGACTGATTCGGAGTGAGACCTCTGCTGTTAAACCGGAGCCGGTCATTAGCACACTGCCAATGTATGGGAAACTCTCCACTCTCTCCATAACTGCACTATAACCAATTGGAAGTTGTGGGGGTGGAGTGTCCGATGGTAGAAAATACCCAGGCAGGTGCTTAGTTTTGGTGGGGCTGATGGTAAGGCCCCACCTCTTGGTGGCAAGCTCCAGGTTCAGCAGCAGCACCTCCAACTCCTCCTCTGAGTGAGCAGCAATTAGCAGATAATCGGCATACATAACGTGATTGAGCAATAGGGAGCCATCCCTTGACCGCACCCGGGCATCGATCAGCCTCCCACTGTATCTGTACCAAATGGAAATTCCTCCGGTACAGCTATTGAAGGCTTCACGAACTACGTGGTCAAAATGGATGTTAAATAATCTGGGAGCCAGAGGACATCCCTGTCGCACCCCAAGGTGTACAGGGAATGGCTCTGACTCCCGGCCACGTAGTTTTACCCGGGCCCGCTCACAATCATGAAGGTCCTTAATGAGCATGAGCAGAGGGTCAGGGACTCCAAAAGCACGAAGAACAACCCAGAGCCCAGGCCTACTGATGGTATCATAGGCCTTGACCAGATCAATAAAGCAGAGATGTAGGTCTTGTTGGAATTCCCTACATCTCTGCTGTAGCAGACGGACAGAAAATATGGCATCTGTGCAGGACCGCCCTTTCCTGAAACCGTATGTACAACAACAACAACCAAAATCACGTGGTAAATGTATATGAGTGGTAAATGTATATGAGTATATAATGAGTGCAGTGAGTGCAGTACATTAGGTCACGTGACCAAATTTTAAAGGAGAAAAAAAACCCCTAACAGCCCAAACACATTCGTAGGCAGACTCGCACACAAAAGCAAATTAACAAAGAGTGCACCATAAATGCACATATTGTCCATTCCATCAGCACATTTACAAAAAGCTTCCATTGTTATTATTAAACCGGGTACACAGTGTATGTTCATTGCATCTAAAGCCGTATTTATTCATTATTATTATTATTATTTTCATCATTATCTTGTAAAGGTGGAACGGAGGTTAGCACACTGCCGCTATGAACCCAACGGTCCGAGTTCAGTTCCCAGACATGGAAAACAGCAAGCGGTGATGGGTATCCGAACCAGTCCACCACTATCCCACCGAACCCCGACCCAAATTCACCAACCCAAACGAACCATCGTGGCGAAGTACGTTCAAACGGCTCCCAGGAACCGCAAGCCCTCTTCACACCCCAGCAGCGGATTGACAAAGGGCCTGTGCAGTTGCCTTCACTAAACAAAGGCATGGTGTATTTTTCCAAAAGTCAATCCGTCGATTGACGCGAGTGATCGCGACA